GTCACATAATAACGCCCCCACGGCTGAAAGGGCGAGCATGTTTGGTGTGACGGGGATTCGAATCCGCGACCCGCAGATTGTGAGTCGAGTGCTCTAACCACCTGGCCATGCCAGGCCTACACTCAATGTAACTCAATAATTATTATAGCATACTTAATGTTTTATTTTGAGATTAAACGTAATTCTTAATCATTTCATAGATACAGATTAAGAGATTAGGACGTACACAATTTAATGAATACTTAAGATTAGGAAGGATAAACTGATAGACAAATGAATGGAAAGATCTATGCTGTTGTGACATCAAATTAAGTTCATAGCATGTTTAAATGTCATCATCAATTCTTAGAGTTTTACTTAAAATGCTTCCTTTCTTCAAACAAAAACTTTTATGGTACTTTGTTGAGTCACTTGATGAAATATTTCGTTATTTCTGTGTACAAGAAAAAAGTCAATATCCTCGCAGTGAAAGGCTCAGTGCGTATGCTTTGAAAGTTGGCATTGGTGAATTGCCTGCACTATTGGGTATCAGGTTGTAGAAAAAGCTCCACGAATTTCCTTTAACCGTTTAATTAAAACACTTTAACGAAATTAAACACGCGCTGATCGCGTGTCGTCTCGGATCAAGTTGCGCATCGTCTCTCGAGCGTCCCAAAGTATTATGCGTTGTTAATAGTTTCCACGTGTGCTTGAGTGAGAAAATGTGTGTTAAATGGTACTTCACTATTGTTTTGGTACTCCTGGTTGAGGCACATCACAAAAAAAAAATATTATCTAATGACATCTCACACAAAAAACAAGCAGTACCTTCTTCTTTATATACACAAAAATTACAAAGCAGGGAGAGAGAGTTAAGTGTTTAGTGGGGATAGATAAGTGATAAGGTTGGCTTGGTGGAATACATTGCGCAACGAAAAACTCAGTTCGCGCGCCAACTGAAGCGGTAACAGAAGAAAATTAACCCCATGAGGCAAATCTGTTCAACAAACAAACAATAATAATGATGAATGATGGAACAATTCATTGTGTTTGTCTTTGAAATATTATTAATGTCAGCCAAAAAAATACGTATTTCCGGTCATTACTGTTGCTAGAAAGCACATGTTACAACTTTAGTACAGTATAAGAAGTATGTTCTTATATTTATACTTTTGAATGAGTTTTTATATTATTTTAATGGGTTGAGATTCAACAGAGGTTAGCATTAAAAGGACATGAAGGAACTGAATAACTGAGTTTTAAAACTTGTTAAAGTTAAACTGTTGTCATGGTTAATAACCCATACAATCATCTAAATCTAATTATAAATTAGTTACTAATAATTTATTACCACATACTAATTAATCGTTGTTTTATAGCCTACGTTTCGGCATTAATCTATTACCATTTTTCGGGTAGATAGGAAGAGGACTGCTGTAGAACAAACTTTTGTGGCGATTTTTAACTTGCCATAAATGAGTAGAAATCTTCAGCTTACTTAGCCAAGAGGCAATTGTTCAACCTTTGCTTAAATACGGCATACATTTGATATGCTAATATGCATAGATCTTAAGTGTATGATGTAAGGACAACGTAACTTCAAAAGACTGTCACAAAAGAACTCCTAGAGTGACTCGAGTTTATTAGTCATGTTGATAATTCCAAGTAAATAAAATAACCACGAAAGATGTTGTGAGTTTCTCAAACGAAAAAAAATATTTTGACTACACATTGTTTTGCAGCAACAAAAAAAAAACAAAAACGAATAAGTAAACTGTCTGTTAACTGTAGTTTCGAGGACTGTACTCTATGTGGCCCATTTCGGTCGAGGATATGGTATGTTAACCAAAGTAGCTTTAGATTATTTTTGGAGGGGAAATAGATGTAGCATAATTTTATTTGTATAGCCAACTTTTCTATAATGAAACACAAGTATAAAAGTTTTTATATAAATAAAGTTTACAATACACCAATACAACACCTTTTCGAAAAAACAGTCATATAAAGTTACTTGGAAAGACCTTGCTTAAAGTCGATTTAGCTGAATTAATATAAAAGTGAAAACAACTGATCTCAGCTGGTCATGGTATGAAATGTGAGCTTACGTATGTTAGTCCCTCGACGGGTCATTGGTAAGTTCCTGGGCTTAAAAGGGTAAAATCCGGAATTCCATTACCCGCGGTGGACAGTGCTGACAGACCTTTATGAAGCTTTTCGCTAACCAAACAAAAACGTGATTTATGTATTTCATGTCTTCTGGTCTAAGAAGTAATATCTGTAGTAAAATAGTAAAGGTTGTTGATTACAAATCACTAGCAATTATATTGTTAAAGATGATATCGATCATCAGCGAAAATCAATATTGTAATGTCACGATGAAAAAAATTTTTCACTTTCATATTTTCTAAAAGGAAGTATTGTTTAAAAAAAAGGTTTATTCAATTTAGCAAGTTCATGACTATTAATTTGAAATAAATATATTGCCTTTTGCCTGTTTTACGTACCTGAATAGCCTGCTTTTCGGAAAATTAAAAACGAATATTTAACGCGTTTCATCAAAAACACGTAGTGATACAAAACTTGTGGCATGAAGATACGAATGACCTAGAAAATCATGTATAAAGCAGTCGTACTAATTTTGTTTGCACAAAATTGTCAAGTAACTCTCCTTTTTGTTTTTCCACCTTCTTGTAGTTCATAATCTTGATATCGAATGTTCATTAAGATGAAATATACTTCATTTTATAAGGTGTCAGACAACAGATATTTATGACATTTATATTGGTTCAAAAGAAACGTCAATTAAATACTCTAATATTATTCCAAGATCTTTAATATTCAACATATTATCGGATCAGAACTCAGTTTAAGATAATATTTCACAGTCACAAACATCAATCGATATATGTATATTCCAATATGAAGAACTGTTAAATAAAAATTTATTAACGTGTACTCATTAGCATTTAAAGACATTTTCCAGTTTCTATGAGACTAATTCAAGTCTCTGGAAAATACAGATATTTCAAATAAATAATAGTTTAAAAACATTTTAGATTCATTATCCAAACTAAACCTTTTTGTCACAGTCTTAACTACAGCCAGTTTCATCACCTGCTTACGTTAGTTACATTTTATTCGTTTTAGAAAATTAGTTTAAAAAAAAGCATTTACACAGGGAACTTAGGTGTCGTCCAGTGTGAGGAAAGATAATGGGTTTGTAATTTTAGTTCGTACACCCTTCTGCTGTTTCCCACGCTGGAAATCCGACAAAGGGAATACAACGAGAAGGCAGAAAAAGCAACAAAATGGCAAATGGAACTTGAAGTAGCCACGTCTAAGTCTCTAGTTTTGACAACTACATGGGCGGAGCTTATCCTGGTTGTCGTTAAAAGTCGCAAGTTTGTTTTTTTTCTACTCCACTTCAACCTAAATAAGTCCATTTTTCTATATAGCATACTTACACAAACAAGCTTGACTGTGTGAAAAGCCAACATATTTTGCAAAAGTATATACACTGTTTCATTTATAATTTATACTTAAATGCTGTCGAAGCTCCGTGTAACTTGCATAGATTAATTCTTTTGTTTGGGGGTTCTGTGTTTCTGTCGTTGAAATAGAATGATTCAATGCCTAACACATGTAGCCAACTAGGCCCATAAGACATAATCACTATTTCGAATTTAAAATGAGAGAGTTTACCTCGGACGTTTTTTAACATTCATACAAGGGGCGGTTACTGTTACTGTCAATGTTGTGGATGTACATGATTTATATTTATACACTACATTTCACGTGGCCTTTGAGATTCAACATTAACTTAAACCAATAGGAACATAATAAATGTTTTATTTTCTGAAGTAGCTTGTACATTACAGAGTAAGAGTGGTAAAAGTTTATGTGCTATTACAATCATATGGATCAACTAATTTTGATTGTGAGTTGTCTGTAACTAAGCCTAACAACTATGAATGACAAGTTCATATTATTATAGACTTCTTTGAGCTGTAACCAAAAGCAGTGTAACTTTATTATTATTTTTCAACGTGAAGCAAAAACCCCCCATTCAAGGTTTTCAACATATGTTTTGAAATTAGCTCATACTTAACTACTCTTCATACACATAATATTATTAACAGTTTCGTTATACATTATATGCCTTTGACAGATCCTTTTAATTTAAGCTCAGGCTTCAACGCATTTTCGGTACATTTTTTACATATCATGTACGTTGCTTTAGTTTATACTTCAGCTCCAAGATTGGTATCCAACATATGTGAGCTACAAGTTTGCTTTTTCATGTGACTTATGAAATTCATTTCCTGTTCCTTCCTATATATACATTAGCTTAGCGTTTTCAAATACGCTGGAATAAGTGCGTTTCTTTTTCGCATTCGTAAGGCGACATCGCTTGTTCTTGTATAACTTTCAACGTTTCTACAAAACCTTTAAACGAATAGCAATTAAGCTATATATTCAAAATGTTAACATAGGGAATACCGTTTTATGCGAAAAACAAACAGCATTTACAGTTATAAGCTGACAAACTTGTATATTTATTTAAAATGATATCCCTAAATGATGAAACGTTTGTTTCTATTTGATACTTTTAAAAAGAAAATATGTTTATATATAAATAACTTTTCTATTTTAGGAATTTGCACCAATAACACTGCACCAAGTGTTAGTTCTATTAATCGAATACTGCGAAATCGAGCTGCTGAGAGAGCGGCGGCCGAGTTTGCTCGCGCCGCCGGTTACACTATGTATCATCCATATGCAGCGGCTTTTCCATGGGGACCTGCAGCAGCAACTCCACACATGTGGCCGTCCTTCCCTGGAGCACATCTTCCACTAGGAACGACCACCGATCCAGCAGCACTTGCTACAATGACTGCTTTAAAGGAACAACGGGCAGCAGGTAAGTCTGACTTGTGTTATTTGTGTTGTGTAGGAATAATGCATCAAAGCTACATACAAAGACACCTTTTAGTTTACTATATTTGTTAAAATATTACAACAGAGAAGGCTAGTTGATGTGTAGATGTATTCAGTCTTCCACTCATCAGACCATTTTAGATGAGTACTGATATATATTGAACAATTTTATGACTCCATAAACAAACATATTGCATTGAGTTTCACGTGTTCAGAAGTAGTTGAAACACGTAAAATATTAATTTACACTTTTAACAACAAGAAGTTTTATTTCTAATATCAATGTTTATAAACCTTATACAAACCTTTAGCTTATATGGTGCGAGTTGCCCCTCGATACCACAAAATATTACACCTACCTTAAGCTGCAGGTCCATTATATGAGTGACAATCATTCCCCTTGGTGTGGATGGTGAATGGTAAGGTACTGCTGAGAAGCTGTTTTCTGTTTGATAGGTATCTCAATTATAGGGACGGTGGCCTTAGTAGCTTTGCCAATAATATAAAATATAATTACTAAAGATTAAATGCTGAAAATTTTATGAAGTAAGCATAAAGTTGGTTCCAAACAGATAAACAAACCTAGGAAGAGTTTAGAATGCCAGTGATTTGTTTTGAAAATCTCCATCAACTGACCCTGATATACATTTCTGTGCCCTTATATAAGTTTAAACAGAAGCCATGTAATGTGGGCTAAATTCATTTTGATAACCTTTTCGTTCAAAGAGTTGAAAATTTTCAACATAAACACATTAAATACGGCGACATATTGAAGGAACGTTCCTGAATAGTAGCATGTATTATTTTAGAGATAAAACATTTTTATTACTTTAAAACGTATTAGGCTATTTCAAATGTCTGTCAAATATTCACATTATAAGATTAAGTAAGTTCATTTTCTTTTCTCACTTTACTTGTGGTCTGAACACAATTGGTGTTTTACTTAAGTATAAAATCCACACGCTCTTAAATAGTCTGTATTAAAGCGGTTCTCGCTATAGAAAAGATGTAAAGGCCTCACAAAAGTTCTGAAACACACTTATCCAGTGTTCTAGTAACCCAGAATTCCATCCCTCCGTAAAGAATGTTCATTACTGTACACACACATGTGTACATATTGTCATATTACAGAGAATCTGTAAAATTACATTGTCATCAATATGCTTAGTTTAGGTGTTAAACAAGATCAATTTCAGGTTTTGAGGTGGTTAATATAGCATATACATAATATTATAATAGATAATGATAGGTTATAGATTAACATTTCAATAAATTTTATTCATCGCATTATATCTCAAAAACAGCCTGTTCTGTAGTGTATTGCAACTGTACGTATTTTTCACACTATTACCATTCAAATCAACTGTTGTAAAATATACACTACTGATTAGGGCTAAGTTATTAAAGAATGCAAGCTATTGTGAACCCGTTATTAGTGATAATACTGTATGATACAGCATCTATCTCCGACTTGATTAATGTAACTTTACGTGGGTTTTCAAGTAAATACACAAACGTATCTTAAAGGCTGTTCACAAGAGTAAAATATCTTCTGAGAAAAAACGGCAACATGGTAGTTTTATCAAAGTTATTTAAAAAAAAAACAACAAAAAAAGATATTATATGAGTAAGAAAGTACACAAAACTTCAGCTTTATTTCCATTAAATTTGTGAAACTGAAAAACTTACTAGTCTGTATCTCGACAGGATAATTGCTGCAAGACGCCGGGAATCGCCAATTTAAATATTATGATATCGTATACACCGGATGTCGCAAAGTGATTAGCATACCCCGACTGTGAATCCTGGGGTTTATGGTTCGTGTCCCGTTCCTACAAATATCGTGCTCTGAACTTTGTGGTCGTGGTCGCGCTATAAAAGTAACTTAAATCCAACACTTCGCCTACATAAGAATAGACGAAGAGCTTATGATGGGTGCTCTTAACGTGCTACTTTCCTTCCATTTTGTCAGTTCAAAATTACAGACAACTGTGTACAGATGTAGCTGTTTTATAGCTTTGCGTGAAAGTGTCGACATGCTGCAACGTATGTTTCCCATTTTCACTTTATTGTCTTAGATAATTCATATAAATACACTTCTCAATATACTGTTTGCATACAACATGTATTATTTATTCGCCTTTCGAGTAACTTCGAAAAATTGTCATTAAGAAGCAGTCCGAAGTTGAAACTTAGAAAGAACCTTTCATCCTCATTCCAACTTCTAACTGATGCTACGGGGTAACACACACACATATGTAAATATATATAAATCTATATATGAAATAGAGCGATAGGAGTTTCTAACAGATCTGATATGAATTTAGTCGTAATGTAAACAAGTACAAACAATGTAGAGATGGCAAGTGGTATAACATGCATGTTTTATTAGAACAAGTAATAACTGTATGCTTGATATATCAAAGAGTAGAATGTGGTGCAGCCGTTATTGCGAAAAAGATTTATATTCGTTTACACCATCACTACGCTTTATATGTTTGTATAATATGATATGGCATTTTAAGTTTGCATTATTTTCGCATCTGTTCATGAAACGGTAATTCATCCACGAGTATAAACGTCCGGATAGATTTGAATTGCTCCATTTGGTGTCAGGAAAAACAAACCCACAAACAAGGTCTGCTTTTATACATCTTTGAAGTACAGCTTTGAATCTTTATAATACTCACTTTTTTATAACTCCAGAAAATATCTATAAACACACAGTAAACTAATCGAAATGCCCTTTTTATGAAGTGGATAAATTGGGTACTAATAAATAAAGTTAATGGGTTGTGTATGTCACATTTTGAGAACTTTAATTTGCAAAAGTGCAATATTAACATATTGGATTGGCTGTTCCTTTACCCAGTTTTTAAACAAACCCAGCTATGATTGGATTTTCACTATACAGTGTAAAAAAGTAATAACTTTTATGTATTTCGTCCAATAAAAACGGTTCCTATAATTAAAAAAGAAATTAATATCTATATTATCAACTCTGTTTCTGCATCGGGGGAAGGATATTTGTATTTCAACCCTCAGCAAACAAGTTTCTATTCTTGATTCTGTTTTTCGTAGCAGAAAGATTGTTTTAATTATAAATTCGGTTTCAGGCCTTACTGATAAAGACAGTGAAGAAGGGACAAGCTCGGACACAGGTGATAGACCTAAGTTCCGAAGGAACCGAACTACTTTCAATCCTGAACAGTTAGAAATTTTGGAAGAAGAATTCGAAAAAACGCATTATCCTTGTGTCAATACGCGCGAGCGTCTTGCCACCAAAACAAATCTGTCAGAAGCAAGGGTTCAGGTGTGTACTTCTTCATATCTTTAAAGCTTTTCTCTTGCTACAGTTAGTGCTGCTTACATTTCAACAAAAAAATATTGGTTTGGTTTGCCTTGTTAATTTCATTCAACAAAGCTTTTCGAAAATATCTCTGTCTTGCAAGCAAAAGAAAGTGATTATGACGTGTTTAGTACTTGTTTTTTTTTATAATTTTCAATGCGATTTATTGTTAAAATCGTAAGCTATCTTAATCTCATAAACTGTATTTTAAGACCTGTTAACATAGATATTCGTGTTAACTGACAATCATTTATAAATAAAAAAGCATAGGAATCCTCATAATATTAAAAATGTATAAACACTTTAACACCGTAGTTGTAGGAATACAGGAGACAATAAACACACAGGTGAACATAAAAGTCGTAGAAACACTAGAAACTAAACACACATGTGAACATAAGAATTGTAGAAACACTAGAAACTAAATACACAGATGTGAACATAAGAATTGTAGAAATACTAGAAACTAAACACACATTAGTATGATAATTGTAAGTACATTGGAAATTAAACACACATGTGAACATAAGAATTGTAGAAACACTAGAAACTAAACACACACACATTAGTATGAGAATTGTAAGGACATGGGAAACTCTAAACACATATGCGAACAAAGGAATTGTAGAAATACTAGAAACTAAACCCACACATTAGTATGAGAATTTTAAGGACATGGGAAACTCTAAACACATATGTGAACATAATAATTGTAGAAACATTAAAAATTAAACACACACACATTAGTATGAGAATTGTAAGGACATGGGAAACTAAACACATATGCGAACAAAGGAATTGTAGAAATACTAGAAACTAAACACACACATTAGTATGAGAATTTTAAGGACATGGGAAATTCTAAACACATATGTGAACATAATAATTGTAGAAATACTAGAAACTAAACATACACAAGTTAAAATGAGAAACTTAGGAACACTGGGAACACTAAATACACACGCGAACAAAAAAGTTGTAGAAACATTAGAAACCAAACACACAAATTAACATGAGAAGTGTAGTAAGACTGGAAACTTTAAACACGTGTTAACATAATGTTTGCAAAAACATTGGAACTCCAAACACACATGTTAACATTATTACTGTAGGATCATTTAAAAATAAAGAATTGTAAGAACAGTTTAAACTAAAAACATACGTTAACATAAGGATTGTAGTAACGCTGGAATTGTAAAACAGGTATCCATAAAGCTCAACATACAAATATGAGAATTGGCATTTTTCTAAGATAATTTCGTCTAATATTCAAATTTATTATAACCATTCATGTAAACACCATTATCCTTCTAACGCTGATAACTCTTTAATCAGACATGAAATATCAGCATCTAGTTACATTGATAACTCTGTAAAGGTTCATGTAAGTACTTGCACCCTTCTAACATTGATATCTCTATTTAATTGGGGAATATTAGTGTTTCGTAACACTGATAAGTCCTTGAAGATTGATATAAACGTTAATACCCACATAACACTGAAAGTTCTCTAAACATATACATATACATTCGTATTAGTATAATACTGTCAGCTGTTTAGAAACACGTTTGAACTTTGCATTCACAAAACACATAACATTACTGAAACCGTAGGAGTCACGGATGTGTTTTAAGCAGTACAACTTATGTTTTGAAAGTTTTTTTTAACGGCGCATTTATTTGAGCAAAATGATCTTACAACTTGCCAATATCAACAAACATATCTTATTCACCCACTGTCAGTATTCATGTCCCTGCGAATGTAGTTACACAGTCAGCATATTGAATTTAATAGTACTAAAAATTGTAATTAATCTTCCAATTTGAGAAGATGCAGTATCACCAAATGTGATGGCTTAAGATCTATCTCAGTTTGTCAATTACCAGACTCTCGGATTCGTAAATGCTGTTCATTTTCAGCTGAATTATCTATAACAAAGTTGTCAGCTGTGACTGAAATATTATATCTTCTAGAGAAATACCATTCCCTACTTGCTGAGTTCTCAGATTTTCCAAGAGTATGATCTTTTAAACATAAATATGACTTTATCTGTGGATATACTATGCCTAGGCTTGAAACTAATTTCTGTCATTGTTTACGTACATATAAATGAGTCAAAAAGAGATTAGTTCAAGTCCTGACAAGCATCTAACCTCAATACAAATTAGACATACACACACACACCCCGTTTTAAGCTTGTAATACCTGAAATTAAGCGGTCATTCGTCATTTACAAATTTATTTGTTTTGGCTGAGCGGATGAATGCATAGGCTTCACTACTGGGTTGCTATCTGTTTTCATATAATAATCTGTTCTAGCGAACCTAAAAAGTCATTGAGTCAATTATTGAGTACAGTCAGTGCACGAGTGACTACAAAATTACATTTCTTACATATAATCAATCAGTCACCCTTCCACTACTGATATCAATCAAAAATGGCTCTTTGTTATCGTTCATTTAATCTTCACTAGGTATAATGTTGCTATAACTGACAACTTTATGACAGGTATTCCAAAAACCGAGGATAAGCAGTAACTACTAATCCGAGAAAGTCAAGTAAATGCTAAACTGAAGCTGATCTTAAAACAACAAAATTCGGAAGTGCCGTTTCTTTTCAAATTATACTGCAATTTGCTTACATACGTTTTGTGAAATTTCATAATCTGTGTACGGAGGACAACGAATTTACACACTGAGCCTATGAGGGATGTGAAATTATACACTCAATGTACGAGAGGCCATAAAAATATGCACTCAATATACAAGAAGCTATGGAATTATACACTCAGTGTACAAGAGGAATGAAAATGCACACACACAGTGTACGAGTGACTACAAAATGACACTTCATACATATAATCATTCATTCTGATTAAGAAGTTAGCATACAGGCTCACATACAGAAGTTGTAATGGTTTTCAAACGAGACCCAAAACTCGAATAGTTCACTATTCTCCTTCAGGAGAATAAAGGAGAATATAATCAACAGTCACCCTCTTGCTATTGGTTTCAATTAAAAATGGCTATTTGTCATCGTTCATTTAATCTGTTAGTATTTCGAAATATATACTTGCATATAATTTCAAACTTGTATATTCAGCTATATGCATAATAGTTAATGTCTCTCTATATATATACATATCGTTTTTGTCATCGGGAGTGTTTCCTCACCAATAGATACATCTATTCCCTGAGAATGACTAGTGCGACTGTTAGCTATGCACACAGAGCTAGTTCCTGGTATTCTAAGGGCGGACATGCAATGACCGAGAACAACTATATGGGTAGTTGTTATTTCAAAGGAAAGTCAGTATCGCTTTCTGCTATCGGAGAAGCAATCAATAACTATAACCAACATGGTTTCTGGTTGGTGAGTTTTCTAGCTGGTTGCGGGGAGGGGGATCAGTTAAAGTCATGTAGTAAGTGCAACTAGAATATTACAGCAAACGTTACATTATAACATTATCGTTCCGTGAAGATGTGTTCTTATACGTAACACAAAATTTTAAGATATTTCCATTTGTTAGATAACAACTACTGTTAGAATAATATATATATATATATCATTTAGTGGAGGTATTCGAGATATTTAATCTTACACACCAGAAGATCTTTTCATAAGACATAAAATACAACAAAGGATTCCGAAATAGTCATAATTTCCCAAATCAGAATATATTTTAAATTGCAATGAAACTCATTAAACGGATCGTTTTTTGGTATTTGTTAAAATTAAGTATTATTCTTGGTACTAATTAAGGGAGGTAGCAGTAGTTTCACCGACGTTAGTTACTGTGTGTGTTTATCTGAGAAATGTTTCTCACAAATGTTTGACATTTTGTTTTCTTATAACAATTTCCCAAATGGTACTGTTTATGTTACATGAAACAATGAATTTTACACTTTCTTAATAAACAGAAATCTTCTAAATTTGATTTTAAAAATCAGTTAGAGAAGTTAGTGTACGTTGTAAATTAATATATGCTCCACGTTTTGATTATGATCTAGAAAGTAAACCACTGCTTATCCAGCATTTTGTTTTCGTTTTATTATTTATATTATTAGCTGCAAAGAGAGGTCAATGTACCTGGAAAATGAACATATCCTCAATGTGTTACATTTAGTACGAAAAGAAATACGTTGCATATCCAGTATTTTGTTCTTACACTTTCATTTATACCTCTAAATGTTAACTATCACACATTAATTATTAGTTAATAGTGTTAAATGTAATCCAACACAATTCACAAGCTCATTGGCTAAATCTAAAGAGTGCAAACATTAGACATTGCTATACAATAAACAACTTGATTTAGTCCAGTAGATAATCCTAGTAATCTGCTCACATCTATACATGAACAATATAGATGCTGTTTTCATCATAGGGAGTTTATGAATTTTTTTACTAATGAAATATGTTGCCTCCTGAGGGATGGGCAAGTGATCTAAATTTACTTCTTTATTTGCTACATATGGCATACCCCACAATCAAACTAAATAAAACCGATTAGAGTAATACAGATATATCACTTCCTTCTGATCTTTTATACCACAATACGGCAGCGTAAAAAATCACGAAACCAATCTGGGTTAATATAACTTGTTTCAGCATATACATACTTTAATGTTATCACAAACATATAATTAACTGGTTCTACTCATTCCTAACCTATAATGATTTAGTAAATTCATTCCCAAAACAAAATCGGTTTATAATGGAAAGCATAAAATTCATTTTTATCAAAATCTGACCTACTTTTATTCAGTATATCACTAATTTTTCTTGAAAGTTTGTAAAGTACATTCATAATGAATGTAAAATATCTGACATTAACAGGTGATTAAGGATAACTTTCTCAGAAACCGAACATTAAGATCAATGTTTTAATTCACAAAACTTATAAGGCATGATTTACGTGATAAAGTCTCTAAGAATGATGGTTTTATTAGCTCACTAACTGA